TTTAAAATATATATATATAGTGCGATTGTTAAAAAAGTGAATGCGAGCTAAATGGTTGATGTACTTTTTTGATGGATTGGATTTCTAATTTAAGGTCATTGGTAATTTGAATTCCCAAGTCACGCTTAGCAAAATATAAAAAGAGGTGGTTGCTTCCAATGTAGTTCGAGTCGTTATTGAACGAGGGCATATTTCCTCCATTGAGTACTTGAAAGGAGTTAATTTTTTTTGACCAAAGTGCATGACCTTGTATTTCTTTGCATTAAGTTCCATGAAGCAAGACTTAGTCCAATGAACAAATTGGTCAATATCTGGTTGGAGTTAAAATCATTTAATGCAACCAGGTATAGGAATGATACAGAAATTTCCAAGGAAATCTGGAAACTTAAAGACGCAAGTAACATGCCTATTATTAATTGGAACATAATTAAAAGATGCCAATCTTTTAACTCATCTACAAAAAAGTGTAACCTTTGCATCAATGAAAAGTATTTTATTATGACTTTTGATAGTCGACTAGTGCTTAACAAAAAAAGTGAATTGGTTTCTGCTTGTAGGCATAAGAAAAAATTTTTACTATCTAATTTTGATTCCGGCGATTAGCAAATATCGGATCACGTATAATTGACGTCAGATGCCGTTGCAACGCTAAATTTGTATTTTGTATAACGGTTTTTATTTTTTATTTGAATAATATGGCTGATGATTGAAATATATACATATATATATATATATATATATATATATATATATATATATATATATATATATATATATATATATATATATATATATATATATATATATATATATATATATATATATGTATATATATATATATATATATATATATATATATATATATATATATATATATATATATATATATATATATATACATATATTTATGTTAAATGTATCTTTGACAACTTGTATATCTTTAAACTTAATAACTTCTAAATCTATATTTATTACATTATTGTTTTGTTTTTTTTTTCTGTTTTTTTTTTCTGTTTTTTTTTAAAAAAAAAATTCATTTTTTACCATTTTATTTTTAAACACAATTCTTTTGTATTCTTAAAACACTTTGCTTAAAAGGAGTTTCAAAATAGATGGGCTGCAGCTAATTTGCTAGAAAATGTTAATATGAAGAAGCAAAAAAATGATGGCGTGGTGCCAGTTAGATGGTAAGACAAGTCAAAGAAAAAGTTGTATTAGCTACAAGGCATAAATGTACTGAAGTACGAAAATTTTACACCAAGCATAAAGCTATAGTGTTATATATACACAACTTAGTGTAAATATTTCTTAAGAAAAAAAAGTACACCAAAAACGCATTACATTTTCGAAACCACCATACCTTGTTCTGCTATGACCTAGATTTTGAAAATATTCTGTCGATATCTTTCAAAAAAAAAGGAGGTTAAACGGGCAGGTCATGATTTTTTTATGTTCAAAATAGGTAACTTCCAGAGATGGTGTAAACTTCAAATTTTGTAATATTGATACTGGTATCAAAAAAGAATGTTTTACTAAAAATTACAATAATAGGAGAACAATATTAACCTGAAAAATCAGGACCCACTGTCCCAAATGTGGAAACAAGAATAAATTTTTTATTTATTTTGCAGTTTTTTAAAAAAGATCAAAATTCATCGGGAAATTTAATTTATCGCTAAAAAATTTCATATGGTTCATAAACGGCGTCCAAGGAAAGTTTGAAACCCCCTCTATTTGAGGGGGTTGTCAACTTTACCAATTCATAACTTTTGAACCTAAAAATAGTTTTTTAGTAAAAGCAAAATTTACAGATAAACTTTAGTCGAGTTCATAATGGTAGAGTTTTTTTTTAAGTGCTATCATTACCCCTATCCATAATAAATATTTGAACTTTAGGGCCTTATTTTGAGGATAATATTGTTCCCAAACTCTGATCACCATGATTTTTTTTTTCAAATTATTTGCATTAATGTGAAAATGCATAAAGAAAAAAAATATTTTAAAGAATAAAAAATCTTGAAATTGATCTTTTAGTATATATTCAATTGTTTTTTAATTGGAAAATGGTTTAAACGACACAATTTAATGCTTACGTTTATATTTATTTCCATAAACAATCATTTAAAGTTTATAAAAGATACACATATATGCTATAAAATATTTCATTTTTAAGTAAAACTGTTAAAGAAGGTATGTCGGTAGTTGTGCGTAACAGTGGCTTAATGAAGGCTTTGCGGATAGTCATTAAGGCTTCTAGAAACTTTGCATTCACTCTCCCAAAACTGCCTGAAAATCATAATAAACAGATTCAAAGGCCTTTTCAAACCAAAAACTTTATCCTTTATTTGGATTAGAATTTTACATAAGTGAAAGAAAATCACATGTTTGATAAGAGCATGCACATTCAGCATGGTCTTATCAAGCATTTTTGTATTCATTAATGGTTGACTCATATTCAGTTAACTTACAGATTTACAGCATTTAAACTTTAAGAGATTAAAAACATTTAAAGGAAATAATATGTTCATCTCTTTCCAGTTTAGAAGATTTTATTAATTCTTTTAACACATGAATATTTTTTAGTAGTTTTTAACATTCTTCATCTTTAAATTGGCCATTATGCAGCTTAGGCCTTTAAAAACCTAAAACCTGGTTCCACTGGTTTGCCGAAAAGGTAGTATCCACTTTTTGATCTGCCTGATGACATAAAAGTTATTAAAACTCTTGCCTCAATGGAACTCTATTTACTTTCTGGGTATGCAAACAGATTTTACAATAATCTTGATAAATATTTGTAATCTATGGAAAGTTAACGCAATCAATATAAGATGCAACGAATACTTCCTAGAGTTCTAATAGATAGCTAATGAACGGATACTTTAATAATTTTTAAAATCTTTCATTTTTTCTTTGCTGTTACATCAAAGGCAAGGACGTGTTGATGCTACACTTTCCAAAAAATTGGCCAATTTCATATCAAATGCATAAAAAGTATTTTAAACAATTTACTTTAAAATAGAGATAATTTTCTGAAGATTTGAATAAGAATCAGCCACGTTTCCTGTTTTAAGCCAATAAAAAACAATTTGTTTACGGCAACTATCTTTGTATTTTTTATCACCTATTCCTTCCTCTAAATTTTTTTTTTTGATATTACATTCTGTCACCTTTTCTATAATATTTAAATAAACTATTAAAATTTCGCCTACAACATCAATGTTCACCTTTAAAATATAATCTTTTGACAATTTTCTCTCCCTTATTATTGTCTCAACATATCCTTTGATGTTTTTACAATAAACCAACTGACTGCAATCTTTTTCAAAAATCAATTCTTTAACACTAAAATTGTTATTTAAAAACCTATCTTCTTTACTTAATTTCTCTTTTACATTGCTTTCAAATATTTTTTTTCTCTTGGAGCTTCTAAGTATACAAAGAACTCTGGCTCCCTATGTATTAATGAGTCTACAAGTGTTTATAAATTTCCTCATTTCCAAAATTAGGATTTATTTAAGTGGAAAAAGCGCTTTCGAGGAACTTTTTATTTGTTCTTAATATATATTTTTTTGTCAATAAACAATCATTTTACAATGGTTTTTGTAAAAATTAAAAACTAAATCTTAAATTCTGACAGGAACAAGTAGGAGACGATGCGTCTTATCACACTGCTCCTAAGTTCGTCAAAATATCAAATAAGATTTACGTATTAAGTTCTTAAAGTATACGTTATATAAGTTTTATACATATTACAAGTTTTGTACATACTATAACGTATTACAGCTCATAAAATATATATGTTATAAGATGCATCTGTACGTGTTAACAAATCGATATATAAATGTTTTTAAAAATACATAAGAATGTTTTTATTATTTAAATCTAATAAGTATCGTTTAACTGCTCTTTTAAATAGTTCAATTAAAGTCATGTTTTTCATGTCTCTATTGAGGAAATAGTTCCACAACATTGTTTTGTTCAACAATTCAATAACAACAATAGCTTAACTTTTAGCTGCAACCTTGATTTTATTACCCTCCTCCTCAACTTTTCTTTTCAATACTTTTGAGCATTAAACGTCGGCACCTCGTCTTAATATCTTAATATTAAAAGAAATTTACTTCCATGTTTCCAGTTTTTATATTTCAAATATTTTATATAAATTTCTTTATTTCAAATTTAAAGTATTAAATCAAAAACAAAAGGTTAGTCCATCTTTTGTCAAGTTCTTCTGTTAAATTTTTACTTCTTGTTGTGAGAATGCAAGGGTGGAGAAATCCTTTTTCAATGGCAACTCTACAATTTTTTTTTTTTTTTTGAGGTGATGATGCCTTTACTCTTCCTAACTTGATTCTCCCTCTATTTTCAGATGTTGATCTTGAAGTAATTGTTATTTGTGCAATGCTACAATTGTCACAAACACAGAATGATGGTAAGTATACTTACTTTGACTTTTAAGAGTTCGGTTTCTACGGTTACCTAAGGTTTACTCAGAATAATATTTTTATCTCCTTTTTCAAGACTTTCTAATGCTTTTTTACATTTAGTACAAATGCCATTTAGAAAGTTTTTATTGTTCAAGCCAAACCCAGCCGGCAAATAACGTTGAAATAACGTTGAAATATCGTTGAAACCTAACGTTGAATTAACGTTGGTTTAACGTTTAGAATAGAAGTTTTTTCAACGTTGATTTATCAACGTTAAATCAACGTTAGGTTCAAACGTTATATCAACGTTGAATCAGCGCGAAAAAACGTTACAACGACGTTGAATTAACGTTAATTTAACGTTTAGAATGAAAGTTTTTTTCAACGTTGATTTATCAACGTTAAATCTACGTTAGGTTCAAACGTTATATCAACGTTGATTCGACGCGAAAAAACATTACAACAACGTTGAATTTACGTTGATACAACGTTTAAAATGATAGTGTTTAACTGTTTAACAAATTTCTTCTCTTTTCCACCACCTTTTTGAAATAAAGCGTAATTTAGAAAGTCAAACAATGTTCCATTAACCGAGGGTTCTTTTGGTCCATTGAGTACAATATAAGAAGCTGTAAATAAAAAAATATATTAAAAAAAAACAAAAAGGGAAGATTTAAAAATAAATAATGAATATAAAAGTGTTACATCTTATGAAGGCACATCTTTTTCAATGCCATATAGATTACTGTTCTTAAAACATATTTTTCCACCTTTGCCCTTCATATCCATAGAGACCATATAACTTTTCGAAAATACTCTGAATTTTAAAAAAATAATATAACTGTTAGTTGGTTATTAATAACTTTTTCAAATATTTAATTTAAATAAAACAACCTTTTTAATATATTAAAAATAAATTGGTAGTCAAAATATAAAACATTTCTAGCATTTAAAAATAATTTTCGGGGTGGCCACATAAAATTTTTATAAGAAATTTTATGTGGCCATTTATTAATGGTTTAACGTCCATGTTTATACACTTATGGGGCTGGGACAGGGATCAAATAATGTAATTTATTATGTTAAACGGCATGCATTTTCTAAAGCAATTTTTTATATTTCATGCACTTTAAGGCGTTAACCAGTTTTGCAGACCGAGAATGGGTATTTTGAACATTATACTTCCATCAAAAATTAAAAAAGGAAGAACTAATGAGGAGCTTTGATCAAATTTTTATCTCTTTAGAGGATAATAGAGGATTTTAGAAGTGGTTTTAAAAAAAAGAGGACTTTAGAGGATTTTAGAGGAGCTGCAGACACCCTGATTATAATGGAGGTAAGAGTTCAATACTGTTTTTGATTACCTCAGCATAATTTTGTGTGTTCTATCTTTAGAAGACGTTCCACCAATTAACTAATTAATTTATCTGTAATTGATTTATCTGTAAAAAACATGAAGTAAATCTAATATTATGCTTGTGGAGATATATTATATTGTGGAGAACCATCCAAACCACACAAATAGAAAATTTGCATCCAACTTTCCATTTGTGTGCAAATCTTGCATCCACTTGTCAACATTCTCATTATCACATTTTTCTTTTGTAGTTGTGAATTTAAAATTTTCACAATACTGATTGCTTTCTTTTAGAATTGAAATAGTTATACAAATAGTTATATATTTTGTATCAACAAAATATATAACTATTATTTACTCTTTTTACCACATTATTTAAAAAATAAAAATTGTAATTTACAAGAAGAAGTAATTTCAATTAAATGGAATTACTTCTTCTTGTAAATCTTCATTCCAAACAGCTCCTTTCGGCATATTCGATTTTGAAAAAATTACATGAACTAATATAAAATAAAGAAACTGTAATATAAGTGTACTAACAGGCCTTATTAAACTAGCTAAATTTGAACATTTTATAACCATGATACTTGCTAAACAATAATATTAGTAGACATTATAAGCAAAGATAAGATTTTCTTTATTTTATAAATTTATAATTCTTTAAACTCATTTTTATTAATTTATTTATTATTCTATAATTCAGCAGAGTTCTGAATATATTATGTTCAGATAACTTAAGGCTCAATAACAAAGACAAATAATGAAAAAATACTAGGTTGCTAAAACATAAACATCTACATAAGATAATTATGGAATATTGAAAAAAAATAGAAATACAAAAAAATAAAAATACTCATTATTAATATAAAATATAATAGTATAATTTAAGGTATATTATAATATATGACACAATAATATCGACTTTTAATTAAAATATAAAAACAACAAAAATAAAAAAATAAAATATTTTGATAAATAATAAATTATCATTAAAACAATTTTTAAGATCAAAAAATAACTTGTAACTTATTTTTTTACTTATCTTTATCTAATAAACATTACTTATTTTTCACTCATCTTTATCTAATAAACATTAATATTAATACCAATTTTAAACATTATTGGAATTTTATTTTTATCAAAAAATAAAAATATTACATCAGTTACTTTTTGGGCTTTTCTTATTTTACTTAAAACATCAACTCAATTCTAGACTTTTTTCATAATTGAGTTTTAATTTGTAATGTTGAATTAACACTGAAAAAAAAATATTAGCAGACAAAAAGAAAACATTTCTTTATTGAAATATATGTAAATATTTCAATAAAGAAATTTTAGATTGATTTTAATAAATATAAATTTATATCAATTAATCTAAATTTTTTTCTTTTCTGCCACCTTTTTGAAATGAAGCACATTTTTAGAAGTTAGACAAAATGCCATCAATTAAAGTTTCAGTCGTTCCATCGTATTTAATAGAAGAAGCTGTTAATAAAAAAGAATTAGAAAAAAAAAAAAAAAAAAAAACACAAAGAGAAATTTTTGAATATATAAAAAATGAGAATAAAAAAGTTTTTCATATCTTATAAAGGTATACCTGTCACTACACCATATAAATTAGTGCTCTTAAAGCATATTTCCACCTTTCCCCTTCATATTTATGGAGATCACAAAATTGTTGGAAAATATTCTAAATTTTAATAGATAAGAGAACTGATATTAATTATGCGAGAACTAATATTATTTTTTTTTTTTAATTTAAATTGAACTCATTATCAAATAGTTTTTTTGCTAAATAATTTTCTCCTTAAAATTCCTGAATAATTCAAAATTATTTTATTTACCTCAGCATTTTAAAGATATTCCATCAATTGCAATTGATTCACCTAAAAAACAACAACAAGTAAAGCAAATATTATTGTTTGAAATTTTAACTATCTTTATACAAATACTCATCATATTTTTAAAGTAACTGAGAAAAATGGATTCAATTAAAATCACTTCATTTGTATTAAAAAATTAATATTAAAGCCGTAATCATACATTATACAAGAGTATTTTGTCATACAATCTAAATAAGTGTTGCGATATGTAATTTTTTTATCCGAAATTTAGCTTTTGTAAGCTTTAGAAATTTTTTAAAGAAATTATTGATGAATTTGGAGCTGCGGGTACTAATGTTTTTATATTGCTGTAATGTTTTTATTCATTCCCTGTTAGTTTCTGTAAGTCAAAATTTTAAGGTGATTCCATAATAAATTCTGTTATATCTAAAATTTAGTGTTAGTCTGAATAATTTACTTTCTAAAATCTGTTTTGCATTGCCTGTCTTATAACATCTTTACTTGGAACAAAAACCATGTGGTTTAAAAGTGAGCTAGAAGCTTTCAACAATGAAGAAAATATTGCATTCGCTAATCCTAAAAATATATTAAACCTGTCAGCAAAATCAGCTGTCAATAATCCAAATATTAGCATCATTAAAACTTCATCTTTGCTGCATTACATTTATTTTGGTCCAAGCAGTTAAGGATTTTATTAAATTTCAAAAAACAGAAGTAAATATTTTTTTTAATATCACTTTATCTGTTTTGATTAATGGTGATACTGCACTAACTGGTGAAACACATTGACAGATGTAAGGCCAGTATAAAAGTCTCAAGATTTATCATTTTTAAACTAAATGTTTGTCACAAGTAAATTGCAATAACACGATTTGTTTGGATTATGTTTAAATACAAATTTGTCTGTTTTCATAATAATAACTGATGTGGTTGAAGTTAATTTTTCATATAAATCTTTATTTTTTTATTTCGTGCTGAAGTTCTTTTTTAAAGTTATCAATTTCCTTTTTTAATTCTTGATGCTCTATTAAAAAACAACGCTTAGCATTAAATTCAACATAATTTAATGGATCATTTTTTAAAAAAGTTGTATTATATTTACATTTAATAATATCAGTCTTGGAGGATTGTAGCCCAAGTTAAACAAAAAATATCGATTTTTAAACGATAATGTTCCTTCAGGTAAATCGTCTGAACATGTTTTCGATCTCTTGAAAACTCTATATGGTATAAGTTCAGTAATTACATTTTTTTTCCATTATAAATCTCTATAACTTTAACCGTTGAAATAATGTTTACGTTTTTAATTCCATTTCTGCGCGCGCATAAATTTTATATCGTATTTTTTGTCAACAATGATTGAAACAATGACGTTGAAATAACGTTAAATAATCAACGTTTAAACTGTAACGTTGATTTAACGTTGAAATAACGTTAAATAATCAACGTTTAAACGGTAACGTTGATTTAACGTTGTGAAATAGTTGAACAACGTTAAAACAACGCTTCAACCGAATTTTAACGTTGAAACAACGTAATAATGCCGGCTGGGAATGATTTTAAAAAGAACTTAATTTAATGTCATACTTTCTTCTTTTACTTTTGTCATTCCTGATCCTTTCAAAAAACAAATAAAGCAGACTAAAGCTCTGTTATCTTTTTGATAGTTTTTATTGTTTGGCATTTTAAAACGATATGAGCAATACTAATCAAATTTTAAATTTTTTTTTATTAACTATTGCTGCAGATAAAAAAAATGCATAGTATCTATTATTAAATTTTTTTTGTGGTATACCATAAGGAAGTATACAAAACACAGCATTGTTGTTTATACATTCAACTTGTAATGGAAACGCTTTTTTACCGTAATTAACGTATTATTTAAAATTTTCCATAAAATTAGGGCTCTATAATCCAAATATTTATTATGGATGGGGGCAATGATAGCACTTAAAAAAAAACTCTACCATTATGAACTCAACTAAAATTCATCTGCAAAATTTAACTTAAATAAAAAAATATTTTAACTTTCAAAAGTTATGACCTCGTAAAGTTGACAACACCCTCAAATAGAGGGGGTTTTAAACTTTCCTTGGACGCCATTTATGGACCATAAGAAATTTTTTAGAGATAAATTAATTTTCCCGATGAATTTCGATCTTTTTTAGGATGCAAAAAATAATTTTTATTCTAGTTTCCACATTTGGGAAAGTGGGTCCTGATTTTTTAGGTGAATATTGTTTCCAGACTCATGTCATTGTAATTTTTTGTAAAACATTCTTACTTGATATCTGTATCAATATTACAAAATTTGAAGTTTGCACCATCTCTGTAAGTTACCTATTTTGAACATGAAATAATCATTACCTGCCCGTTTAGCCCCCCTTTTTTTTGAAAGATAACAGAACAAGGTCATAACAGAACAAGATACGGCGGTTTCGAAAATGTAATACTTTTTTTGGTGTACCTTTTTTTTCTAAAGAAATATTTCCACTAGGGTGTGTATAGTTAGTCGCAGGTAAGTATTTTAGTTTTGGACTAATTTTTTAATGTGTTGTTTTTTAATTTTTTTTTTATTTCAGGATTATTAAACACCCACTATACAAGTAAGGTAAATTAAGAGTTTCATGCAAGATAAATATAAAAAATCTTGGAAATTTTTTTTTTTTTTTTTTTTTTTTTCAACGTGATCATCTTGGAATATGTTTTTCAAGAATGTCCTTGAAGATAGTTCTCTGCTCTTTTAAGTTCTAAGTTGTGCTTGATGAACATTGTTTATTACATATTAAATTAAAATATTTATTTCCAGACAAGAAATAAAATCTGTAAACAATTTCTGTCAGTATTTACTTGTTCAAGTGCCAGCGAAACAAACTATAGAAAAGAAGAAACATTTAGTAAGCTTGCAATTTTTATTTATTTTTCATTATTTTTAAATGGATTGAATAATTTTGTTGTTTGTATTTAATTGAACGATCAAATTGTTTGGACAAAGGATTGGTTTTTTAACTTTTATGTTAAAGTTGTTATTTTCTTGTTAACTGTTGTTTGTTGTTAACATACAAGTAAAAAATGTACATAATGACAACAGATTTATCTTTAGAACTGTCTGCAAAACGTTTGGTTTGGATACAAAAGACCAAGTGAAATTGATGCTTTTGAGTCTATATTTTTGTTTATGTGTATTTTATCTGTTGCTAATGATATTACCAGTTTTTATAATTTTATGTTGTTAAGTAAAGCATTATTATGTTTCAGGCTAAAATGGAGCTTTTAATAATACTTTTATCCAGTTTAATTGAATACCAACACTCAAAGTGTTGTTATTCATTTTAACTAAATCAAAAATGAAAGATAATTAGCTGAATTATCTTTTCGTTTTTGATAGTCTTTAGTCAATAACGGATTTTTAAATTGTTATGGGCCTACAACACTTAGTTTCAGCAAAATTAAGCGTTGCAGAAATTAAATTAAAAAGTCACGTCATAGAAGACAAAAAAATATTAATATTTGTTTTTGATAACTTGGCTTTCATGGCAAATCTGAGAGGTGCAAATGTTTAGCTTGGTTTAAGCACTACATAGTTAAAGTCAATTTATTTAGCATACTCCTTTTTATATATTTTTAGACGGTTTACGGATTGACTACTGTCCCAATTTAACCTCGTGGGTACAAAAAGAAAGGATTGCGCTGAAAACAAAAAAGGTTGAAAGGATCACCTTATTTTTGAATTTGTCGGTAAGTCCCCAGCCGGCAAATAACGTTGAAATTACGTTGAACTACTGTTGAAACCTAACGTTAAATTTACGTTAATTTAACGTTTAGAATGAAAGTTTTTTTTAACGTTAATTTATCAATGTTAAATCAACGTTAGGTTCAAAAGTTATATCAACGTTACAATAATCTTGAATTTACGTTAATACAACGTTTAAAATGATAGTTTTTTCAACGTTGATTTATCAACGTTAAATCAACGTTAGGTTCAAACGTTATATCAACGTTACAATAACGTTGAACTTACCTTAATGCAACGTTTAAAATGATAGTTTTTTAAGCGTTGATTAATCAATGTTTAAACGACTGTTAAAACACTTTTTCACCATTAAAACGTGCTATGTATGTCAAAATGTATGTATGTAAACGTGCTATGTGTGGCAAAATGTGATCAACATCAAAATGTACTATGCAAGTACATTAGTGTTGCTGTGCATTATCAAGATATATTATGGGTATTAAATCTATACATAGTCTATACTTATACTATTTAGTTTGGTTATAATAGCTAGGTATGATTAAAGAAAGTTATAAAACTTGTTTTACTGAAAAATATATCTTAATATTACATATATTTACATATAATTGAATAAAATCTACACAAATTTCTTCTCTTTTCAACCATCTTTTTGAAATAGTGCGTAATTTAGAAAGTCAAACAATGTTCCATTAACCGAGGTTTCTTTTGGTCCATTGAATTCAATCGAAGTAGCGATTAATAAAAAAAATATATAAAAAAATCAAAAAGGGAAGATTTGAAAAAAATATGAATGGAAAAGTGTTACAACTTATAAAGGTATATCTTTTTCAACGCCATATAGATTATGATGTTCTTAAAACATATTTTTTCACTTTTGCCTTTCATATCCATGGAGGCCATATAATTTTTCGAAAATACTCTTAATTTCTAAAAGAAAATATAACTGTTAGTTGGTCATTATTAGTTTTTTCAAATATTTATTTTAAATAAAACAACTTTTTTTCGAAATAAATTAATAATCAAAATATAAAATTTTTCTAGCGTTAAAAAGTAATT